ACAGTCGCGCACTCGATGGCGATCATGCATTCAAGCCGTTGCCTTCATTGTATAGCTCCCCTCCCAATCACCTCAATTAAAATCCATTAACATCCCTTCAATTACGCGTCAATTACATCAGCTACCACCCCCAATGCGTAGTTACCCATCCCCTTTCCAAATCATCGGTGGAGGGAATTGTGGCAGCTAGAACCGTGTACGGTAAGTACACGGTTATTACAGCGATGATGAGTTGTCTCAGCAGTGCTGATTCGGCTCATGTTACACTTTATATACATCCAAGGCAATTTAATTTGAAGGATTTCGGTTACCTTTCACTGGTATCATTCGACTATCATGAGCGATTCAACCAGGCGATTGTAGAATACGATTCAGAAATATGAAGCAGGTAGGTACGGTGGTTTTGGATCTGTAATGAATGTGTTGGAAGAACCTACTCATAACAAAATTCCCCAAAATTACTTGGCACACTGCCACCCGGGGTTTCGAATACTTCTAGCCCAGCAGGCACCTGCAACTAATACGGGGCTCATTACGTTCAGAAAAAGGGAACCAACTCGGTACAACAAGCTTTCTATTCTACTAACTTATAAATGACACTATCATGACCGAAGGAAAGAAGGAAACAACAGTAGAAACACGAAAATCGACAAAGGAATCTAGTTTCAAAGCAAGCAAGGTATGCAGGTTGATTGTCACTGAATATTGTTGAGGCCATAGCCTCAAGTAAGAATGAGAGGATACGTTCGGATCATTAACTAAAGGCAGTAATGGAGTGATTGACGTCACAGTGGGAATAGTCTAAATGTACGCATAGCAGGAACTTCACTCAGGCTTTGAACGGGTCTCAGCCACTGTAGGTGCATCCGACGTCGTTGACAGGTTAGACAGTTTATGTAGAAGCCAGTCCTCATAGTCATCTTTGCTTTCAAGTTTTGTTTGCGCAGGTGTTAGGTTATTGTTCACACTCGGAGACTTCCGGAGAGCACGTGAGCATGTAATTGGGGAATAAGGTGTGGTTTTATTGTCAACGCAGTCCGCAAGACAAACGAATGGGGATTGGACAACCACGGTGGACTCTTTAGCGATCGCAAAATCACTTTTTTCAGTTGTTCTGCGTTTTGGCGGTAGGATGAGATCTTCGACAGCTGCAAAATCTTCAAAATCTGGTTGACTAAGCGGAGGTACTATCAAATTAGGTGTTTCCCGCTGCAGCCAGCTGAATGAAGGAAAAATAATAAAATGTTGAAGTACTTTGATGCTGCTACGTGCAAAAATCGGAAGACAATACGGTTATCGCGCGACCACGCGAAAATATTTCCGAAATATAATCCATAACGCGACAATCATTTTCGCGCACGACTGAAGTCATCCCGGTCATTGCGCTCTTGCGAAAAAGCACGTGATCGTATAACAGGAACAGGGTGTGATAAACGTTAGTGAAAACTGCAGTTTTGCATTCCCTTCAAGTCTAGTGGAAAAGTGTAAGGCAGCAAAACCGCTAATCCACTCTCGGTTACGAGACGTAAAACATGCTGCTTATATGCAAGGCCAGAGTACCACACCAATAAACAGTGGTGATCTCAGATACTTTCAGTCGCGCATCCCGCAGCTGACTGAAACTAAGAAAACTTTGACCAATATCCTCAACACTTTCAGTAGACATGAGATCCAGTGGTTTGTATCGAGTACTTATGAGCACAGGATTCCGTCAAACAGGTCAGATAGGGTCAACCAACAATTAAGCCATGGGGACGCATTCAGGGTCGTCACAATTTGGCATACACAGACAGTAAAATATGATACATACTAGAGGCATAAGCACAGGATCATAATGAAAGATACATTGGAGGACGGAACTTGTAAGAAGCACAATTAATAACCAGGCAACTTGAATACGGGATAATAGTGTTGAGGCACCTAGCATTTCTAAAAAAAAAGTTCTAGAGCTTGATTATGGATTGGAAAAGGAGAGAGATTTCGGAGGATCGGACTGCAGAGTGACCTTGGCAAGTAGTGTTTGCAAGCTATGAGATGCTGACTAATCGGTCGAACAGAAGGAAACACACCGGAAGGCACATTATATTCAAAAAACAACACTGATGGATAGGGACAGAAGGTAAAGCCTTTCTTCTTAAAGACAAAGGACTGAAAAAGAGAGCACTATAGCTCATGCGAGAAAATGCAGATACCAAGGACTGGGAATGGACATAATCCGTGGATATCAAGAACAAGAGGAGTACTGCTTCATCAAAAACCGAGTGCACGTCCTTAGACTGGGATAGATTGCGAGTGAAAGCGACACAGTGTTCTACGAGCGTATAGTTGAGGATGCTCCTATTACTTGTCATAAGGCTTCGAGAGGAAACTGCAAAGCGTTTGAATGCGGCTGTCTAGTAAAAGAGTGATATATGAAACAGGGAAGATAAGGCAATCGCTCAGCTGTAACATGATGTCAGTGCCTAGCTGTCATGCCATCCAAAGGAAGCACGAAGGATGAAACACTGCCAGGGTGCCCAAGCCAAGACAGGAGAAGTCGAGATCCAGAGGTCGTGTTCGAACCACGGATCTTCAGGTCAGTAAATTCGCGCTATAACCACTGAGCCATCTCGCCCCCTTGAAACAGGGAATCGATATAACGGCCAGTTTAATAAAGTCATACACTGAGCTTGTACATGGGGTAAAGACTGTGAGGCCACCTTGGAACAACCAGTATCGCTCGCATTCTCGCGAATCGTTATATATGGTAATAACGGGCCCTTAACATAGAAAGAAAAAGTAGATAGGATGGCGACTTGAAGCACATCACAGGCTATGAACTGCACGTATCCCGAAGATTAGATGAGACGCTAAACATACCATAACCTAGTCCGTCTGCAGCAAGTGAGCTGAGTATTACTACTCGTTCCAGGCTACTAAAAGTATTCTTATAGTTCAGGAATAGTAGTCGCATAATATCACCACCTGATACAACAGTGAACAGGATTAGAGCCCTAATGCCAAACGTAACGGATCGGCAGGAATAAAAAACATGCACTTTCCACTATCCGTTCTAACAGAACCTATGCTAAAAACCCAAACAGATAAGAAGCACAACCAATCAAGCGTAACTTATTGGCACCTTTTTCGAGGATGCTATCATTTAGATTGACCTTCAGAACCTGGGAAGCTTTCCGGAAGAAAAACGAAATGGGGTCAGTCAAAGGAAACCAAGGGGAGCAGTATATTCTTTCAGTAAGGGGGAACGGCGTATTGCTACCACAGTTCCTGTCAGGTTGGTGGTGTATAAGCTGCCCTCGGATATCACTGGACTTATGAGGGGAATGGGGTGGGGTATGTAGATAGAAAAGACGGGGATTCCACTGATAAGTTATCCGCATCAATGATAGATCTGGGACAGACACTGGGAAACGGCCGCAGCAAAGGTCACGACTCACAAAATGGTCTCACTATAGAGGGCCAACTTTCGTTGTATTAAATTACAACAGGTATTTTACTCGGTTTCGCTGGCCCGACTTGTAGGTTGTTTATCAACTACAAACCATGTACCAAGGTTATGTTGGTTGCGGCTGCTACAGTTTCGGTAGTCAGAAAATGAGGGAGCGGGAGAGACACAACTAAGCGTTAGAAGCGATGGCATGTTCAGTTACTTCGGCAACTGGGTAGCTACGCACTGAAGGCGATGGCTTTGGTGTACGAGCTTCAATGACTGCACGACTGAGATATTTCTGTTGATGTCATTAACGATTGGTGGGTTGAGTCCCGGAATCCCCATCCAGGGAAGCGGTAGTTGTCAACCCGACAGTTTACTGGTTACTGTTTTCATAATGCGTTACCGAGTCAAAGACTGTCCGCCTCTTGGTTGCTGGGTAAAAAGAGCTTTGAGGGACAGATGGTTTTCTGGTATGCGGAGTACACACCCCAAACCAGTATGGCATATGGAACGCAATTAAGTCATATATGGTGAGGGAGTCCCTTTTCCCAAAAACTACCTCGCGTACCTCAGCACTACCAATCCGACGTTCCCACCAGACCGAGCCAAACACTAACAGGATCCGTAAGTTCTCTGCGATTTGTAAGCGATCACCAGTTGCGGCTGGAGACTCTTTGAATAAGTGGATCAGAATATCCCAGTCCCAAGGAAAATAGTTTCCACTAGACAAAAAACGTTGAAATAAGGGTTGAGGTAATCTGTTTCCTGCTCATCGACGGTTGTGGATGAGATAAAACCAGGGTTCACAGGACCTAAAATGGCCTATCAACCATTAATAGCGTAGTGAATCAAGATTTGTCAGTCATGACTTCAGTCGAACGGGATCCTTAACATAGAAATTCTTGAAGGACTTGATATGCGGAACACGCTGGCACAAGGTCAGGTTTACTGGGACTGCTTGTGCGTGGATATGGTCAAAACTCGTTTAGACGTAACACAGCACTCATAAGATTGCTGAAAAACCTTTGATAGTCCACGGTCGGTTCCGTCCTTCTTCAGGCCTGTAAGAAGTTACGCCTGAACCATGCAATGCGATCTCCCGAATATTGTACCAGCGGAAACAAAAATTTGGCCCTAAAGAACATTATAAACGAGAGATCCAGCTGAGTCTCTCGTTAAAACCAAATTGGTGTGCAAATGGGGGTAGTTGGCAAAGGTCTAAGCTTCTCTGAAATAGTCACCTACTTGTTCGACAACTGAGGTGTATAGGTGACAGGTCCACTAGCAGCGCATACAATTAAACAGCGTGGGTTGAAACGGTTGGTGAACATTGTCAAGTATGTACCACATTTTCGAATCAACCAATCAATGATGGTTTTCTCAACAGTAAACCCAGTAGCGTTCAGTTCCCAAATATGTCAACTTTGCTAGATGTCACATGGACCATTTTATTCCCACTAAAACTAAATGAGAATGTTCGCGACCCGAACTGGATGATACTAGCGATATGGATGGTGAAAAAGAAAAAAATGACGGAAAAAAGCATCAATGAACACACACGGCGTACCCTTGAATGCCAGGAAGTGAGCTAGTATTGTCCACATTGCCGTTTGCGGTTTTAGGTTCTACCCAATTGGACCAGTGCGACGCGGCTATTTGGTTCAACTGTGCTACGACGGGATGAACATTTCCACTTGTCGTGACAGACGATAAATTGGAGGGTGGATCAGAAGGGCTCACCGTTGGCGTGTTGTTAGCGACATTACCAGTATCGGCGGGTCCCGTGATTGTATCATCCGCAGCATTAGGACACTTCATACGAGCACCACAGCATGTTGGTCCTCCCGGACCGCCAATGCATTGAGCATAAGGACAGCCCTTTATGGTCACTGTTTCCATAAGATCAGGTTGTTCAAGCGGCTGAAATCAGACACATTCGAGATGCGTTTTAAAAGAGATATGACGGGTACGGTAAGCTGACTTAAACCTCTCGAAACCCAGGTGGGACGTGAATCTTAAGAAATCTGACTGGTGGCCTGACAAAAGTAGAACGCTCAGCAATCGTCCCAATTATGGACTAATCTGCTGCACGTCTTTGGGGATTATTCAGGTGTTTCCCAACTTATTGTTCCTTTACATATTTTCTGATCGTTCATATATGCTAATATAAGACGTTAGTTAACGACCATTTCCATGCGATCGGTGGATCTTGAAATTATGGCAAACTGATAGCACTCTTGCGCAATGCAGGTGGGAAAACTGGCCAGGTGGAATTTTCCATGTATCTCTGTGGTTGACAAAAGGGTGTGATCAAGTCTATGGGAGTCGCTCCAGCAGACCATTCGTGCGGGCATAAGTGGTGAAGGGGTGTTCATCATCATTGTCATCATTATCAGCTGTAAGAATCGCGTAATTGTCGTGCAGTGGTTGAAGCTGCCACAGTTTCGTCCACCGATGAGTTGGAGAGGTGAGGTAGGTAGCTGCGCATTGGAGGCAGGAGTTGATACAATTGATGCGTAACTACAGGGTTGTCAGTGCACTTTTAAATGGTGGGATTGGAAAGGGAGCTATGTATTGAAGGCAATGGCTTGGATGCACGAGCGCCATCGAGGGCACGATCGGACCGTGTATGACAACGTATCTAACCCATGATGCGTCCCACCTCGGGGTCCCCATTCAGGGAGATGGTAATGACCAGTGTGGCTGAGTTTGCCAGTAATGGCTTTCATACTTCGCTATCAATTCATTGTATGACCTACCCTGGCTCGTCTCCACCCTTCGCGTTAGTTACTGAACGACAGTATTATTAAGTGGGAGAGCATATGTGACAACGCGCAACGTCTTCCAAAACTTGGGTTTGTATGGAAAACAAACAAACCCAATGGCAAGTTGGATTAGCTGAGATTTGGGCTTTTTTCGTGGGATTTATTACCTACCAAATGGATGAGGGTCACTAGGAATCAACGAGCATCCGCAAAGAACAAACGGACTGGTATCCATTACTTACCAAAAAGGCATTACCTTAATTCCTCAACCCAAATTTCAAAGGCGAAAGGACTTACGGGGTCCTTTTTGGGTTGCAAATTCTGTTCACATTCCTGCTCCATGCCAGAATTTGGTTCTGACTGGGACTGTAACCAAAGGGATAGATCAACAGGCCCAGAACTCAGTAAATGTGCCGGTAACAGTGGCACTGTTGAAGTGACACTGCTTGTACTGGCACTTGATTGCGTGGTTGTTGATGATACACCTGTTGGGGGGCGAAACTGTGTTGAAGAGCAAGGAACCAGTTCTCTCGTCGATTGTTCCGAAGCAGAAAACCGTTTCTGGCGCATGGAAGGAAGGATTGCGGAGAGTCCGGGCATATCTCCTAATTCAGTCTAGAAATTCCGGCAGAAAGAGAATAATCATGGTGCGAGACAGCAAAATAACATGCCATTACGACGGCCAAAAAAGTTCATTGACTTTCCGGTGACAGGGTGTGAAATAACTGAGAATCTAAACTGGTAATTCAGTCCTATCGTTGAACCAAAATGCTGCATGAGAGAAATTACGGTCAACGCATATAGTTCACGGGCACTAAAGCGGTTACTCCCGGATAGGAAGGAGTGAAGCAATTGCTTTGCATTCAAGCGAGATCAACAGCCAGTGAACACACCGAGCTACATTATTTAGACATTTTACCGCAAGAAAGAAAACTTAAGAAAGAGCACATACCGGGTCACAGAAGAGCCAGTCCCTTAAATCATCCATTCGGCCATTCGTAGATCCCGTGAGGATGGTAAAGCTGTCCGAAGAAGTCGTGGCTAGAGTAGACGGAGTGTGGAATACATTCAATTGACATGCGAGTCAAAGTCTGTGGTTCACGTGAATACATACAGTATCAAAACAACATATCAATTTCCAAAAAGCTCAGTCCAAGTTGAACATCAATTTTTCGAAGCCAACCGAGAGCTTTGGTTGGAAGGACGCATCCAAATGAGGCCCCATTGTGGTGTGTATGAATAAAGGTAATTTCTTTGTAATGTACTACTCATAAGGTTGCTGAAAATCCATCGACAGCCCACGAACGGTTTCGGTAGGCGCCTACCTGATGAGCCCCAAGAAGGGCGAAACCGGTCGTGGGCTGTCGATGGATTTTCAGCAACTTTATGAGTAGTACATTACGAAGGTACACATGTATCGCGATATTTCAAATATCCTAGCGACTGAAACATGAGGCGGCCTGGTGCAGCACATTCAGTTGCCTGAGAACATCATGAACGAGATTCAGGTGGGTTCCAGGTGAGTCTCTCGAAAGAACCAAATTAGTTTGCAAATGAGTGTATATTCGCTAAAGGTGATTTCTGTTGAACTAAACTACCCAGGTTGAAGTCGGACAAACAGCTGAAAGGATCTTTTGTCCCCAAAACCTAATGAGTTAGGGGAAGATGGCGGTCGATATTATACATTTACCTGAGAAGACGGTCAAATGAGTTTGAACGCAAACAGTTCTACATTGAGCGAAAACGTTGAGAACGTCGGTTAGTAGGACCGACCGATTCTAGAAGCCTACATTCGACGAACTACATCTCCAAACTTATATGCAGCACATATTTGTTCTCTGTATGGGGTGTCATCCTACGTAGTAGGTAACCACCGCAGCAATGTCCTTGGATAAATAAAGTGAAAGGAACGCACTCTTCTGCTTGTGTGCACTTCATGATAAGGTACTCGCTGCACACCATAAACCCAAAAAAGGAAACGCAATCCGGTCGTATTATGGAGTATCCAATACCCTAGCACCAACGAGTGCTGCGCACATCCATGCGATCGTATCGAGGACAGTCGTTACAGGCAGGATAGTTAAACAGATGAAGTACTGTATACATTAATGGCACATACGTACATAAATGCAACTAAAAACCTGAACCGATTTGATGACTTTACGGCAACTCTTACCGATGCCAGGAATGATCGATCGGTTAACCTCCGGTAAACGTTCAGGCGCAGGGACAGCTTTTGCATCTCGGAGAAGGCTTACAGCCACTAATGTTAAAGATGCTCTGTGTTCAAAAATTCAGGAAACCAACCATACGGATGTTGGAGAAACAACAATAGGCAACTAGTACTGTGTCAGGTAAGTGCAACCGTTTAGCGACCAACTATATATGATGATTCTATTTACCACTTAACTCATAAATGGCACGGATCGCCTACACGAAGCTGGTGGCTTCTCAATGCTCCGAAAAGATTGCTGGGCTTCTTCAGACCTGCGTATTTGTGATCAGCGTAGAGAACACCAGTCACAATTTTCCCAGGGTTTCTCGGAATACATAATCGACAATGGCAGCACGATGCCGAAAATAATCTATGTAACCTCCTCAACTTCAACTTCGCTCATTGTGTCAGAAAATGTTTCGGAGGACACATGTGAGTGTTCAGAAAAGGACAGCGCAAAACCCTAAAATTTGTGAAATCCGAATCACTGACAGGAACTGGTCAGTCAATAAGGTGGATAACATAACGCGCAAAAACGGAACATTTACCTGTGTAATCGGACTCCGCCTGCGACGGCCTTCGAAAGGCCGGTCCTGATGAACGAATGAAATCGTGCAGCATCAGGTGTCGTTTCGAAGTGACGAAGCGATTGGTCCACGACAGATCAGACAATGGGGACATTATATCAGTTGCTTTCTTTGTAGTGTCTGCCGATGGCTGAGAACTACGTGGGTTACTCTGTGAACAAAAGTAGAGTACGGTAAGGTGAAAAAACTTATTATATTATAGAAGAGATACCTGACTATGATCCTCTGTTCGATCCCCTTCAAAAAGAGATTGTTCGTCCAACAGGACTAAAATCTACATCTCCCTGATGACCACCCTGTAGGACAGAAGGGACTACAATGTTTACTAATCGTCGTGTTACGGGAGCAAACAGCGACTGGGAAACGAAGCAGTAATCTGAATAATTTAACACAGGCGGATCCTAACCATCTAATTAAGGAATGTGCACAAATGGCACCGCTAACAAGAGCGGTGCTATTAGTTTGCTGACCTTGTTGTCAAGATAAAACAGACTACTAGTCGTAACGTTAGTATCAACTCGTGATACAGGCACTGCATGTTCATTAAAAAGTATTCATGATGGAGGGTTGGACTGAACATCTATCGGCAACTGCTTCAGCGCGGTTCGTTTGATTTCCGTAAAAGTATCTCAAAGCTCATTGTTAATTCATTACACCTCTTCATGTTCAAAGGAACTGTAGTTCTCATAAGTGTATAGGCCGCCTAAGGTGCTATATTACAACAGCCTGAAAGCCAATACATCAACCGAGTTACCGGAGACATAAATCCACACTTGATGCTGCTGAGCGTGATAGAATTTCTGCGCGGCAGCAAGACATGGACGATGTACCGGCGTCGCATCCGGATCTTCGAATGCTTGTATGTGGAATATCTGCGGAAAATTATGCGCACACAGTGGTAACAGTGCCCTTCGAATACTCAAGGTATCAGGGAGGAAAATATATGGAATCGAAAGCATCTCGATTCATAGCTGGCTGCGCTAGTTTTGTCATGCAAGGCGTCGTATTCTAAACCGATTGCTATATGGGCAAAAAATCGTTCAGCTGTAACACCGTTCCGGCGCCTAGCTGACATGCCACCCGAGGGAAGCACGAGGGTTGAGATACTGCCAGGATGCCCAAGCCTAAACAGGGGAAGTTGAGAGGCAGAGGTCGGGTTCGAACCACGGACTTTCCGGTAAGTAAACGCGCGCTCTAACCACTTGAGTCATCTCATTCCATCTCGCTACATGGGCAGATAAAGAATTGGTTGCAAAGGAGAATGAAACTAAGATACCGTGACAGACTTCAGTCCAGTGACGTCCAAGTGGAATGTTCGGGTAAGTTTTGCCCTTCCCTCTCATTCGTGCTTCCAACCACACCCAGCATTCGCGAACGACGCGATAGACAGAAGTGACCACAACTACTTAAATCGGTGAGACGAAAAAATGTCCCTCAAGGAGAATCAGCCACGACCCAAGAGTCTTTGACGCACCGCGTCGCTGCGGAAGCGTCGTTGCCAACAAACGCGTGCAGCACTACGCGGATATCAATCTTCAAACGACCTGTCGGTCGTCCAGGGCTACTACACAAATAAGCCATGTTTTTGCATCCAAAACAGTGCACAGAGGACTCTACTCCTCATTTGAAGGCGGGTATAACGAAACGAACAAAACCTGTCTCCGTTATCTGAGCGAGTAACACAGAGGGAACGGGCTTGGGGTTGTTGTTGTTGTTGCTGCTGTTGTTGTTGTATGTGTCCAACTCGTACATTTAGGTCCTTGAAAAGGGCTGCTAAGTCTGACCTACGGGCATTTGTAATCGCATTGTGCAAGCCTTTGCTGGACTCGCCTACGACTCGTCCATGCAAACCATAGAGAGAACAAAGGGGGTGAAACCCACTCTGAATCGAAAAATTCCTGCCGGCGACACATATAGACAGCCAAGGTTTCTAGATTTCATGTCATGGTTGCTTGTTGGTTCTCACTATAGATTGTCCTTGGTCGAAACGGTAGAAGCTCCCGTCAGAAGGCTTTGCATTTCTCTTCTCCATAGCTGGAATTTTGCGTGTTCATCATGTCGCACATAATAATGATCGTCCTTTAGGTACGCAAAATCAATCGCACTAGGGGGTTATGCACGCAGATAAATTGTTTTTAAGCTGGGAGCAAAAGAATTGGAGCGCAGTAGCAGTGCCTGTGTGAATCTGTATTTCCGAGAACGTCAAAGCTATACGGCACATAGTTACGTCCAACCGGGAACCAAACGGAACCTCATACGCCATTCGTATCATCGACTGGAGGGAAGCCGGTGACAACTCTGTGAATAGTGGATGATCTTGTGATGAACCCAAGACGATGGAGCAGTTCTTAGGCCTTCCCGCTAAGTTCACGTCTCGGACTTAGTGAAGACCAGTTGAATCAGTCTTTGATAGGTATTGGGTGCATGAGGATTGTTAAAGGGAACCAGTTCACCGGACCGCAATCCACTGCACCCTGCTAATGCAGCCACATTTTTTTCGCGACTGTTTATTTCGAGCTAGTCTATTCCCATAATAAATCAGGGCCTTAATTGAGTAGACCCATATAGTCCTAGAAATATGAAACGGTGACCAATCAAGGTGAGTCCCCACAAGTGCACTTTGCCAATACCGCGGAATAAAAGAAGGAAAGAAAGAACCATGTCCATGTAGAGGTCGTCTTCGTCTTTGGAACGAAACGAAAGATCAAACATGGCAATATATTCTCCTAAAGTCTTATTCCTGGGTTCACATATATAAAAACTTACTGTGGACGCATAAGGTTCCAATAACAAAACTTCGCTTGTGGCGTTCGAATTTGGAAGTATTGGAGTTGGCAGTCTATGGGCTTCATCCTTAAGCGTTTGTGCTGGAGTACAGTCGTGAGCCGCACTAAATAACCACTGCCGCCAATGAGGCTTCACACAAGAACATGAGCCAGAGACGTGAGTGAACATAGTTGTGTGTTCATGTGATTCTTCATGGTTATCCTCTTCCTCGACCGCTAGTGGCAAACAGGTGGATGGTTGACTAGGATCAGCAAAATGACCGGAATAACGAGATGCAACTCGACCATAGTTCGCGATCGCTTGATGCAAAGTAGAGCGGTCCGCGCGAAAGGAGACAAACGGTGCGGAGCTAGAATTGAGTAAAACGGACTCCGAGCTGATTTGTGAGGAATACTGACAGCACATTACCGAGCAATATAGTCGTGAATTCGGGAGTCATTCGCATTCCGTGTAGAGACACAGGAGGTAATTCCAGCACGCAAAGCTTCAATTGTTTGCTTAGAACTGGAAGGGAGGAGAATATTTAAAAAAAAACCTACCTGTCAATCAGTGCGATCTTTTCCTTGTAAACTTTGTCCAGTTGTTTCAGCAGATTCACTTGTCTTTGATGAAGTGCATCGATCAAACCATCAAAATTCGCTTTGATTTCAACTGCCGCACTATTTGCGTTATGTTCTAACACGGGCTTGTAGCCATCCAGTAGTGCAAGTAATTGATCCAGTCGTTTCAAAGTTGCACTAATTTTCAATTCCAATTTTCCGTTTGGATTCTGTTGATCCATAAGGAACTAAAATGGGAATAAACTGCAGTTGACGTTGCGCGAATCAGGTAAGCAGAGCAACGTATTCAGAGTTGTATACCACCGGTGTTCGGCTATAAAACTTAAAGTATATCAATAAAAACTGACAGAAGACTGGAAAAGGAGAAAAACCAGACCAGTAATAAATGAAGCGTGGAGGACTGATTTCAAACGAGCCAAAACAAAGTTAGGAAAGAATTCCGCATTATAGTGAGGATGTATTGATGAAACGAACAAGACGGATAAAACGCATATGACAAAATAGCGACATGTCATGAAAAAGTAACCGACCAACCAGTACGGAGGAATGTGTCCAGCACCAGAAGCTGCGTTGGTTGGGACGTGTGCTGCGTATGCCGAACCATCCTTTGCCGAAGAGAGTGCTGTTTTCAATGTCCAGTTCAGAGTGGCGTAAACAGCGAGGTGGCCAGCTTTTGAGTTGGCAGAGGAGTATGAAGGAGATCACGAAATGTTTGGTTGCTGTCTGTGCTATTCGCATTCCAGGATGGGAACCGCGTGATGCTCACTGTGCCTGGTCAGAGACGTTGCAAGATATGGCCGCCAACCGGTGTCAGTGGCGATTTTGTTGTCAGTTTCTATCCCAATTGCCTGAGTGAATGTCTGGAGGTGTAGGCACCTCGGAATGATTGTGATAAGCTAGCACTAAGTCCCTTCCCGGTCCACCTTTATCACTGTCTTTACAATGAGGCTTTCAAATGATGGCAGTGAAGCACTGCTGTTCAACAATGATGTCATGCTGTCGATGATGATGTACAAGGACAAATGAGGTGACAACGGCAACTGGGCCTTCAGCCGAGAATGGAAGTGAGGGCTGGAATAACTCACCCGAAACCAGTTCCACACCGGTCTGAGGAAAGTCAGTGAGAACTAGAGATAGGGCAGCTGGGTCGAAAACAACATAGATAATATGAAGAACAGCCGGACTGAAACACCTAGGGCGAAGGTCTGGAGAATTCCCCGTCTGCAAAGGATATCTTGCATTAGACTGAAAACAAAAAATGAGGATTTATTGGCAAGGGGCAACTAGCATTTCCTTTGTGACCGATGAACGAGTCTGAGAGGTGGACCATGGGGCGCAGATGACCAACTTGAGCATTCGTATCAACAGCAAAGAGTACTATGATAGTGCCTCTTGTTTGACGAATCCGTCCGAATAAATATCATTAGAAAATGTTTTTCTCAGCGTCAGGAATATATTCCTCCGATGAACACGCTGACACTACAGACAGGCACCAATTTTTATGTTAGTGGCAGTGAGCATGATTGAGCTGCCAACCGAATGGCACGAAGAGGACTGTTCACTGGAATCAAAAGATAGCAAAGCTCGCCCGGCCATACATTTAACAAGGATTATCAGACACGCGAAAAACTGAGGGTAAATAGTAATTCTAAGTTGTCTAGTCCGAGAAGAAGGATTTAGTTGAAGTGCTCCACCTTGAGCCTTCGACTAGAACGTCTGACCTAGAAGTTTGACCAGTAAGAAAAGAACCAGCACAGTCTTATTGACCAACCATGCCAAGAGCTGATAACTAAAATGTATGACCTTCTGGGCTGCATGGGTCTGCTCTGGTCCGATGGCACCGAAAACAAGGGCCATGCAAGTAGGCACATCAGGTGCATTTGGAGTCCCGACGAGTTCTGAGTAGGTTTTAATTGCAGTTCGACCGTACTGGGTACTTCGTCGGCAGTCACGGTCATTTACTTGGTAAATGAGTGTGTGGTTCCTGGGATAAAACTTTGCTGGCCTGTCCCTTCTCGAGTGAAAGCAGTGTTGTATATTTGCTCTGTTTTTCAAACGTTTCATCATTTATTGCTAAATCACTTTCTTCCGTTTTCAGCTCTCAGTGTCAAAGTTTTGGATGAATAAAGCCTAGCTTTCGGGCCCTCCGTCTTTTCCATTGCCATTCTGATTGACGTTGCACTCTGACCCTCGTCGTACACAACAAGTTATTCATCCAAAAAAAGTTTTCGAACAATGGATCGATTCTTACGTCCTGAACGATTCGATATCGACCCCAATACTCAAGACTCGGCAGATACCTGGGAGTATTGGTTTTGTACTTTCACAAACTTCCTAGAGTCAGTCGGTTCTCATTCACCAGATAAACTGAAAACCTTGTTCAATTACATCTCCCCTAGTGTTTACCGATTCATCAAAGACTGCAAAGACTATGAATCAGCCATCGAAACTTTGCGAGAAATTTACGTACAGCTCAAAAATAAAGTTTTTGCACGGCATCTTTTGAACACTTGTAAACAGGGCGGAGCTCAGAACCTTGATCAGTTTGTGCAGAAGCCTCGCAGTTTATTGCCAGACTGCCGCTTTACAGCCGTCAGTGCAGAACAGCATACCGATGAAGCGTTGCGAGATGCGTTTATTAGCGGACTTTATTCCAACGCTATACGCCAGAGACTGCTGGAACTTAAGTCGCTGGATTTTAAAACCGCGTACGACCATGCAAAGTCCCTCGAACT